CCCTCCCCCCCCCCCCCCCCCCCCCCCCCCCCCCCCCCCCCCCCCCAAAATCTCTACCACTAATAACACATTGCCATCTGCTGGCCATGTACAAAAACGTATGGGGTTAGAAACAAATGGTAGCCTGAATGGTGCTGTAGATCCGTAATACCAAAATATTTGAGAAGTACTGACTGTGTATAATTTTTGTTTGCACTTATTTTGTGCAGAATGTCCTCAAGGTACATATGGGTATGGATGCCGGCAGATATGTGACTGTCTGAACAACTCAACCTGTGACCACATCACAGGAACATGTTACTGCAGCCCAGGCTGGAAAGGGGCCAGGTGTGATCAAGGTAAAGCCTACATGCAATAAAATTATTGTAATTGTTTTATATAAAACTTGGATTAACCTATTAAATTCCATCTCTGTGTCATTCATTAAATTAATCTGATAAGGCATATGTGTTTAAATAGCCCACTCTATTAAATTATATATGTTCTGTAGATTTTGTAAGTATTAGATGCCTCAGTGATTGTTTATTGGAGCAAAGCACTCAAGTGTAGATTGTATGAGATGTTTTACAGTGCTGTGCTGTCCAAAGCTGCTGATAGAGCATGTGCTTTACCTGCTCTGTGCTTTTGCCTAGAGAATATTCTTACTTTTTCAACTCCATGAAAATATCTCTTTCTATGAGGAAGATGAATGCTTTTCCTTAAGGCTAGAATTGTCTTCACATTGATTTCTGACATAGTTCTATTTTTGCATTATTGAATACAGTTAAAGTAGCAGAAAGATTTCAAAGTGAAATATTGTCTTCTGCTCCTAACACATAAGCCTCTGAATTTATGCCACATATTTTCATTTCTTCTTCTGTTTCAGCTGGTGTAATTATAGTGGGAAACTTGAACAGTTTAAGCCGTACCAGCACTGCCATCCCTGCTGATTCTTACCAGATAGGGGCTATAGCAGGCATCATCATTCTTGTCCTGGTTGTGCTTTTCCTGCTAGTGCTGTTCATCGTTTACAGACATAAGCAGAAAGGAAAAGAAACAAATATGCCCGCAGTGACCTATACCCCTGCTATGAGGGTCATCAATGCAGATTACACCATTTCAGGTAAGTGACATTTAGAACAGTGGGTTTTTTTTTTCTCTATCTCTTGACTTTGTGCATTTTTAGCTGAGCTCTGAAGGGGTTCAGATCTGCCCCTACAGGGCTTGAGTGTGCATGTTTTCACCTTTTCGCATTAGCAAGGGCTGCTGTGAGCAGGAACATATTCAGTTTTGAGAAGGGTGTCTACAATTCTGCTTTGGAAGCCTTCCTGGAAAGAGAGGCAAGGGAGGGTTTCCCTCTTTAGGAAGAGGAACACTGAGACACTGCTCTCAACTGCCTTTTGCCAGAGAGCAGCCCCTGAGACCACACTGACAGTTGGGGTTGCTGAACTGGCACACGAGACCGGTGGGATGCTATGGTATACTTGTGTGCTTACCTTTCAGCTATCAGAGACAGTTCACCCAAGTTCAGAAGGATGCTGCCCCACCATTTATAGCTGCTTAGTTTGTTCTGCATCACAGTCTTTTAATCTCTGGTTTTGATACTATGAAGGTGGCTTACTCTGGTAAAATGTGTTAATTGTAAGGAACAAGTGACCTTCAATATACCCTTGCTTTACTGTGTAACATTTTGCACCCTGAAATGTTTTTCTGCATTAAACAGTGGAAATATGGACATTTCTATTCCTCTGTGCCTATTTTCAAAAGTATGGCAAAATATGGTTTCTACTGAGACTTTAAATTCAATGCCAACAGCTTGAATACAGAAAGACTGCTATAGCTGTGGAAAATGAGGATTTCACACTAGCTGTGGCAAGATTCTGTAGAGAGGCAGATAGCATAGTGGCTTGAGTTTGAAACAAATGAAGGGAAGGAGCAATGCTCCCGAAACAAACCAGGAGTTTTCGACCTATGAAAGTGCATGTGAGCTGGGATGCAGTAGGTACATTAAACTTTAGGCAATGCTGGCTTTTGCACCCAGCTGTTAAGGAAGGAAGCAGGTAAAGAAGCCTGCAGAAACAGTTGTCAAAGGCAAGAAAGATGTATCAGCAAAGGTGGTGGTGCTCTTGAAGCACCAGAAAATGTTGCTGTGAACTTGACGGTAAAAGTGTCTATAATTCGGATAATGCTATGACTACAGAGGCAAAAGAGAGCAAGGGACCACAGCAGAAAAAGAAGTTAGCAAGTAACACTTGGGAATGCTCTGCTGAAAGTGAGGACATGACTAGTCAGTTACTGCTCTGTATCTCTAATTTCTTTAAATGAATGCAAGATTTTTCTATTTTTTTTCAAGAAACTCTAAATCAGATTCTGAAATCAGTGCAGCACTGTCAAAAACATATCCTAAGAAAGAAATGCCATGTTATTTTTAGTTGTTCATTTTCCTTTCTTTTTCTTTTCAGAAACCATCCCTCACGGTAATGGTGGAAATGCTAACAGTCACTATTTCTCTAACCCTAGTTATCATACTCTAACTCAATGCACCACCCCACCTCATGTCAACAACATGGACAGACTGACCCTGGCAAAGGTAAAGCATAAAAAACTGGATGCTTATGTGTAGGTTAGCCTTGGGTTTACTTTGTTCCCTAATGTTTCGTATTAGGTTTATTTTTGCTTTCCCTGATTATCACCTGGAAATTCAGCAACTTCTCCTCAGTTTCAGTTTTTATTACCTACCTTTCTTTGGAACAGGCAAAAAACAATCAGCTGTTTGTGAACCTTAAAAATGTGGAACCTGGAAAACGAGGCACCATCATGGATTACACAGGAACACTGCCTGCAGACTGGAAACATGGCGGCTACCTCAATGAGCTTGGTAAGAAAAAAAAAAAGAAAAAGGGAGGATGTTATTCCTTGTGTTTGGGATGGACTGGAAAGCAGAGATGTTTTCCTGGTTCTCCACTCAGGGTAATGCCAGGCTTGTCAGACTGTGTGTGAGGTTCAGGGTTCTGGGTTTGACCTTCCTTTAAGTCAGTACCCTTAAAGATAAAAGAGTGACTCCTTGTGAGGAACGGTGAATCAATCCGATGCCCAGTGCAGACATGATATGCAAAATATCTCATCTTATTTTTATAAAAAGATTTGCTTATTAATTATTTTTATAAAATAATGGTTACAATTGTACAATAAGGGTCTGCTTTGGCAAAATTACATATTTGTATTAAATAAATGAGAGGTTACATATATCCTTTTTTTTTAAATCCCCACCAAATGGAATCAATGCTTTAAAAAGTAGTTTCTCATCATCTGAACTGCTTCAGATGTAAATTCTAGAAGCATGTTCCCAGCTAAACCTCCTGTTTGTTAGAAGACAGAGCATTGTCCTTAACAAGAAAAATTCCCAAAAAGTGGTGAGAGTTGCTGTATCTTGCTTTATGCTGTCTTTTGCTGTCTTTTCATCCTTTCCCAATCTCATGCATTCCAAAATGGCTGGATTGCACTGACCATATCTCTGACCAGTGAAAGCCTTAAAAGGGACTTTCATTGCCAGTGTAATTTAGATCATTTAATTACCTTAATTTCTGTCCTTATCAGTATCAGATTCTGGGCATCAGGACAACAGCATGCAGCTTTTTTTTTTCCTGCTCATCCCCAATCTTGGTCTAATCACAGTTCAGGCTTAGATCTGGGTTTTTTTTAGAAAAGGTTTTCAGTCATAATGCTAAATGTTCAACTTTACATTTTCTTAGAGCATTTGTAATAGCACTTAAGACTCCTAAGAGATACTGGCTGTAGTTAACCCACTGCAGTAGATCTTGAGTAACAGGGAGATTCTAGAGGACTGGGTGAATGCTGATATTATGTCTGTTTTCTAGGAAATCAAATGGAGTTACTTGGGTAGCTCTAGGCTGGTGACCTGGACATTAGTCTTGGTATAAACAACAGAACAGCTGACATGAGATCTAATAAATATGGATGGGGTGGGAATAAAATTAATTGGTTTATGTATCCTCAAATAACATAATTTCATTCTTGCAAACTGAATTTTGTTTATAGAGATATTGTATAGATAAAATTATTTTAGGCCTTTTGTAAGGCTTCTAGCATAGTACCACAATACAATCTGATGAAAAAATTAGCACTCCATGATATCAATCAAAGCTATTTGACTGGTTTATTTACCAGGTAAGTGCCAGGTCTCTGAAGACAGTTGTCAGACATTGCTGATTGCTGATGTTTATATTGGGATTTATATTGATAGAAATCTGTTACTAACAGATAATTGCAAAGCTGTAGGCTTAGGCTCTAGGTGTTTAGGCTATTCCTGTAGGTCAAGGGACTGGAACAGATTGACCTTGGACAACACAATGGGATTGATTAATTTTGGAAGCAAAGTACCAAGAATTTGACTGAACTTTGCATACCCTGAGATTTTCAGGTCAAGATGGGATGCCTTTCTGGTAGATACGGTTTTCCAGACAAAAAATATGGTTTAATCAAAGAGCAGTTATTAGGTTCATTCAAGAGTAACTGGGGGAAATGTAATGGCCCGTGACGTATGTGAGGTCAAACTAGATAATTTAATGGTCCCTTACGACCTTAACCACCTTCCCTGTTCAGGAAGCTACTGTTTGAAAGTGTGCAAGCAAATAGTAAAAATGCTTCTGTAACCCAGTATATGCCATATATGCCCAGTATAGACTGGGCAGTTTCACAGTGCTTATAAGAGAATTATTCTGCTAAGATAGGAATTAGTACCAAAGCGATTTTTAAAGATTTAGAAGCTGTTATGTAATCACTTTTCTTTGATTTTAAAACTACTCTGTTTTTATATCATTTTTCTCAGGTGCTTTTGGACTTGATAGAGGATATTTGGGAAAGTCCCTGAAAGGTGAGGTTTTTTTCTGATCCATTTAGATGAAATGACAGGGACAGTCAATTTACTCTTCTAAATTATCTTTGGTTTCTGTGTGAAGAGAATATAAAATAATTTTGGACAAAATTATTCCTAGACACTGAATGAATGCATGAAGTTTGTTTGCTTTTTTATTCTTTTTTTGATTTTTTTTTTTTAAAAACCAAGCCTTTGTAAGTCTTCTATGTGTCACATCCATCAAATGTTTCTGTAATGCTTGAGTCATGAAATGGCTGTACTTTAGACAGCAGAAGGGGGATGGCCCTTGAATTCAGCCTAGTGAGCCAGGTAAGGATGCATGCTGCCTGTGATGAAAGGCTTTAAAAGAGAGCCAATTCCTCTTGCAACTGGCATGGTCAGTATAGGACTGCATAACTACAAGCCTGCAGTGCTTCATCCCATTCACTGCAGGCCTTCAGCAAGGATATCAAAACATGAATTCATAGAGAGGAATGAAAAGCTTCAGAAATTCATAGTAGTGATGATATTTTTAGCTTTTGAATTACGCAGTTTTCTCATAAGGCTGGACCATACTGGTGTGTGTCACTATTTTTGTAATATGACTAATGTATGCCGAGGGTAACTAGAATGCCTAAATATCCAAACAATGAAAAAAGTGTGGATAAATCCATATGAATTATGTGTTAAATATGTAGACAAAAGCAGCTGGTTTGTCACCTTGTGTATAATACAGGACAATTAAGCTTAAGGAGTGATTTATTATATCTGGTATTTCCTGGTTTGGAGGATTAGGGGAAGCCCAGTTTAAAGTGTCTTAAAGGAATCACGAAGTTATAAGCAGCTATTCACTGGCAGGTTCGCCAAGGTCAGTCTCATGCTAGATATTCAGGGTCGGGAACAAGTCTCAGCTCTAAAGCTTAGATAACAGCATATCACAAAACAACACAGAGAACAAAGTAACACAGACATAACAAAATCTCTTCCTTCTCTTTCTTAAAGCGTAAGAAAATACGTCTTCTCTTAAACTACAGTTACCTGTCCTTCAGTTAAATCCTGAAGTGACAAGCAACTTGATGTTTCCTTTTCAGTTCTCCTGCATGCACCTTACAGAAACTTATAAGAAGCTCGTTACTCTTTTAGTGTGGCTGCATACTCAGACTTTGCACCAAAAAGGCCATCCCTAGAACTCACCTTACCATCTGCCCAGACATTGCTATTGGGAACAGTGTTAGATCACTTATTTTAATAGTGTCCTGAATTCAGCACTTGGGAAGGCAAAAAGTATTCTGAAGTGCCTATTAAAAACTGATTCTGCACATTATCTGTATTTAATGCTAGCTACTGTTTTAACCAGAATTGAAGGTGCTCAAACTTTGCAACAGGAATTTGCTGATGACAAGATCAAGCCCATAAAAGAGCTTTCCATTTAAATATTCATGTATGAGTGACTTTTTAGAACTCAAAATTAAAGAATGCCGTGTTTAGTAGCGATGTCCATAGTATGTAGCATGCCTGAGATTAATATGTTTTTCTTTTTGCAGATCTAGTGAAGAACTCAGAATACAATTTAAGTAATTGTTCATTAAGTAGTTCTGAGAACCCATATGCTACTATAAAAGACCCACCGGCTCTTGTACCAAAAAGTTCAGAATGTGGCTATGTTGAAATGAAGTCACCAGCACGCAGGGACTCCCCATATGCTGAGATTGCTGGCTCTGCTTCAACAAATAAGAATGTTTATGAAGTTGGTAAGTACAAAATCTGCTTCTAGATGTTGAAGGTTAAGAACAAAGAGCACAGGACTTTTTTTCTTTGAATCAGTTTAATTAAAAGACATGAAAAAAATGCTGATGTGTTCAGATTCTATATTCTGCTCAAAAGCTATACTAACAATCTCATTCTTTTCAGATAAGTGGTGTTATTCACAGGAACAGAGTTTGAAATACTTTCAGCTCTGTTCTATAGCATAGAGATACCTCTGAATTTCCCTGGTTGAAAGCCTTTCTTTAAACAACGGCATAAGATAAGCTTAGCATTTGATTGCAGTATAATTCAACTGGAGATTACGCTGTTAAGTACTGAATGCAGCTGGAGTAAGTGTATGGAAGAGATAGAAAAGATCTGTTTCCTCCTCTTGATCAGAAAAAACAGCATCTTCACCCACAGATGTAGTATTTCACTCATATGGGCCCTATCTAGTTACTGCATTGCTGCAGTTACTGTAGTTACAGAAAACTTTGAGGTCTTGTGGAATGGTAGTTATCCTAATGGTCTCTGGACTGGAATAAAGTGTATGTCACATGTCATAGGATACCATTTTGCTTTTCTGTCCTCAATTAGAGATTCCTCTGAAATCCATCAATATCCCCATTGTGTTTCTAAGGATTTCTATAAAATCTTGACTAAAACCCCCAAATTGATGTTTGGGTTTTTTTTTTAGTTTGTCCACACACAAAGAACAGATGCTGGTCCACTTGCTTCTGTCAGTAAATATACTCATGGCAGGGCCCTGTTGCAAGCCCACAGGTGTAACTTAGTGTAAAGCCATAACACCTTAACAGCAATCTTTGTTTCTACACCTGCATTTCAGGACTCAGCATGACAAGAAATCTTTATATTGAAGCAGAAAGGAGAGGATATTTTGTAATGCAAACTGAAATGAAACACAGTGCTTGCCTTCTGTTTGTTCCTTCTAGTGTTGAGTGTATGTGCTGTCTTTTATCACAGAACCTACGGTGAGTGTTGTCCAGGGAGCATTCAGCAGCAGCGGACGTTTCAGCCAGGATCCTTATGATCTTCCAAAAAACAGCCATATTCCATGTCATTATGACTTGCTACCAGTTCGAGATAGCCCCACAACCTCTATGAAGGAGGTCAGCAGTGAATGACCCCAAAAGCTGATGTGTAGCACAGTGGGACTCTCAAGGGGCAAAGTGGCATGGTTGTGCTTCTTCCTCTAGTTCACCATCATATTTGGCTCCTAATCTGTCCAGCAGACAATTGCTGTACATTAAACAGAATCTCAACATGAGGTTTGTATTGTGTATGTAAGTGACAGATGGACAAATGTCACACTCTGGGGATCCTGATGTTTCTTTTTCTCATGGCAGTAAATTTTATAGAAACAGGTATGCAACACATTTATACTGTAATATACTAGCTTAAAAATACTAGTTTGCAGATCAGTTGTGATAACATCCGATTTCAGCGACTTTAAATATAGACTTCATGTTTGTTGTGTTTCAGAGTAGAAATACTCCCAGGACAGTGCAATTTACCAAATACCATTTTATACAGGTGATCTGATTCACTAGTTATGTAGAAGAAAACTGCCTTGCCAAATTTTACCTTCCATTCTGACCTTTAGTCAAGACATATTAAGAAACAAGATCTGATGGGGATAAATAAGCACAATACTGCAGTTGTTTGGGAAATCCATCATCAGGCTTTTTTGTCCATTACTGGTGATGGGCATACCTTGCTTGAGTAGTTTTGGAGATAAAAGCATTGCATACATCAATATTATATGATGCCTCAAGATCTCTTGGTACTCCAGACCCAGTACCAGTCTCCAACAAATCTTTTGCTACTGTTCAACTCTGTATGTTGCAGTTCTGACCACTATTTCTGCCATACACAACTAATAATCCATAACATATCAGTAATTCCTTCATAAAATATGTAAATTTAATCAGGTTTTTTTTTGTCACCATGGACTGATTATGTAAGGAGTGGACAAAGGTGATGACTGCTGTAAATCTTAACTGCAAGGAAAGGTTTACATTTTATAAACAGGTAGTAATAATGACTGTAATATAGGATAAAAATAGTAAAGTGTTCTGATTTTTTTTTTCTTAGAAATAATGAAGCAATCTCTGTGCATACTTGCTAAAAAGGCACCTTTTCTTTTTTATAGTTGATGTAGGGAAATACATGCTTAAGCTGGTCTTTTGCATTGCTAATAATGTGACACATGTACCCCCCATTCTTCATTAACCTGTGTCTCCATTTTTATGCTGTGTGTCTGTTTCTAGTGATCTAGCTTGTAACTGCAAAAATATTCTACTGTGTATCCATTTCTTTTGCATTTTTGCCAACTGGCCTTTATTTTGTCTGGTTAAAGAGACCTCTGGGCACAGGGGAAAGGTTAAAGTAAGAATTCATGTCATACTGATGTCTATCAGAGGTGGTTAGCTAATACATAATAGTTTATCATAATGAATTAATTGGAAAAAAAAATCAAGGTGTTTTTGTCGAGGATAGTAACAAGAATGCAGAAGAAAAGTAAAAAACAGTCCTTCTTTAAAGGTTAGCTTATTCTGTTGACTATATGGATGGAGACCATCTTTCCAAAAGGCTCCTTTCTCTCCCTCCAAAACAGTCTGTTATGAACTGCACAATTTGGTGGAAATTAAATTTGCCAAGGTATCCATCCACTGAAGCAAAATTGTCCCCCCAAACACATGAGCCTAAAAATAAAATGGTTGCTATAGACTGGACATTCTCTTTCAGTAGAAAGTTACCTTTAGAAACCTAAAAATTATGTGGCAGTATTTCTTCCAGCTGCTGCTGATGTCAGTGATTCTACCTGCTAACATGCTTGTAACATAATCCCAGCAGGCTTTTCCACCCTGCCCTGGCAGTAACTCTGTAGCTTCTTGTGAATAGCTTGTTCTAGGGGTTGGCATATCCCTGACTGATAGGGAAAGGATACAGGTGTTTGCATCATATGGCATATAATAGGAAGCACTAGTCCTCTCTTCTTTCTGTGTTGGGGGTCACGTTTTGGCACATGAGACCTGTCATATACTATAATGATGTGAAGGGCAGTCGATAGTTCAAGAGTTTGGTGTATGTGCTCTCTGGCTTAGCACAGGGAGTGCCACAACAGATTTTATCTTTACATCTGGACTGCAATACAGTCCGAGACAAAGAATAATCACTGTTGTGACAGCATTGATATATTCCTAAGAAAATCACAACCAGTTGCCTTTGGAACACTAAATGCAACAGAGCATCAGCTGGAAGAAAAACTGAAAAAACTTTTGGAAAATTTTTTTAAAAGGAACCCCAGAGATGAAATGGAAATACAATTTGCTTTTATTTGTTGTCACTGAAGTGGTGACAAATGAGAGATCTGCATCCAAAGACATCATTGCAGATGTGCCCAAGCCTGAGAATGTATATCCCTGTATGAAGTGCTCTGTAACATTCTTGTTTCTTGCTGGCCATGAGCACTGGCTGTTTTGCAATTCCCTGGGCATTTCTTGTATATCCTTGGAATAAATAATTTGATTATCTTTACATTTTGCAAGTACAGAAATTAACTACAAGATTTCAAAAGCCAGTTACCATTTAATCCCTCCATAAGACAAAGTATTGATTGTGTTTGTGTACATATGGATAACATGTAGAGCTACTGGTATATTCATGTGTTTGTACTGTGTGAAACAGACTTTAAAATAAAACTTTTCTTCTCTGAAGCCATGAATAGCAAATGCTGTATTTAGCAACTGTGAGCTGACAAAAATTTATTTTCTTACTCTGTAAAATTTGGAGACCACTAGATAAGTTAACATTCATAATATAAACAGTTCTTTTTTATATGAAAAAGTGAAGAGCTGAATAAATTATATTTGTTTGAAAATTTCCAGTATGTCACATATCCTCAAGTGATATATTCAGACAAATATTCATGAAAACAGATGAGTTTCTGATAACTTTGCCTCTTCTGTATATTCTAAATATACAGATTGCCAAAGTCTGTCTTTCTGTACATGGGTGAAACTCCTGCTGTGTAGTTAGCATAAGCAATGTCTGCATATATCTGAGCCAGATTTGCAATACGTATAGGTCAAGTAAATAACTTGTGAATTTACTTCAGTGAATGATCATTGGTAGACACTCAGAAAACAAACTGCCTGCAGGGGTAATACATTCTTGTTAAATGATAGCTGTATATCATTCCAGAGGAAAAAAGCACATGGGACTTGCATTAGCAATCCTGCTGTCTCCTGTACAGCTAGGGTGGCTTGCTCTGAAGTACACTCTGCTGTCAGTTTGAGAGACTCCCAACTCAATCTTCATGACTGTCACATAGCCCTTTTTGCAGATCCCAGTATGCTCTTTAGAGAACTTAAATATTTCTGAACATGCTTACTATATTGTGGTGGGAACTTAATGAGTAAGTTGATATAATAATTTTAGCAAACACCATCTATTCAAAGAACTGGCTTTACCACAGACAGGAATGGAAAGAGATGCCTTGCCTCTATATATTCACATTACAATAGTGAGAAACATTAGCATTGAAAATGGAGATAGCTATCCCCTAGCAATGTTTTATCAGTTTAACAAAGTGCAAAATGCTGCACAAAGATAATAGCTGATTTTAAAGTAGGTAGTGAGTATAACCTTTAGGTTTTAGATAATGTAGGCATATTAATTCTGGTCATTTAGAAGCATAATGAACCTCAAGGCTTTTTACTATATCAAAGATTTTTAATCATAACACACTGTTATGCATAAAATTCGTCCTTATCTTGATCTACCCAGAGAACTCCCATTAATTTTAATTGGAGATGTGCATGCAGATTACAAGGGAAAGAAGATTTCATTGTACTCATACTTTCTGCTGAGACAATCTGCAAAGTCAAATTAGAACTGCAGGATAAAACAAAATCAAAAGTGGGGAATGTGTTATTTAATGTATATTGGATTTTCCAAGTACTATGACTACAACTGAATTTTTTATTAGGTATGTGTCCAAATAGTAATCCTTATACTGAAGCTCTAAAGTCCAGACTGAAGAATAGAGAGCTAATTTTGACAAAAATGCTTTAAAGATTGCATATATAGTAGTTTAAATGACTGAAAACAAATGGGTGCATGTTTATTAATTACTGTACAGAAAATCTTGTCATTCGGTACACTCATACTAGTGCTAGAGCACTGAACCTAACTCTTCTATCTTCAGTTTTTTAGCCCACAAGACTTCACTTTGATATGATTGAACTGCAATATATTTTTAAAGAAAACCTATCAAGTATGCCTGGCCTTTTTTCTTAGCTGTGACAAAAAAAGTGGTTTGTTGTAAAAATATATCTATTTTCCAAAGATGACTGATGTTCATCATTCTGCCCTTCACTACCATTCATTTCATTTCACATACCTGTAGGTTAATGTAATAAAGTTTCTAATGAAAGATGGGAAATGCTTTGAAATTTTTTCCTTTGTTTTTCATTTCCGTAGGACAGATCTTGAAATAGCATGGGAAATATAAAAAAATGTTATCCTTCCCCATGCTGGACCACCAAGTAATGTATATTATTTTCCCTCTTAGAGAAAGCAAGTAGTTCATGCTTTGTGGAAAATCAAGGCTGATTTTGAACTGCTAAACTTCTGTGATTACTGTCTGGTCCTGCAGGAATTAATTCTATAAACGGGGCAATTCTTTCAAGCCTGTCTCTTGAACGCCTAAAGCTTTAACCTTTAGACAGATGGGGAGCTGAGTTACCAAAACCGAGGCATTGCCCCTTTTTTGTAGGGTAATAGCCTTTGATTAACCATTAAAAAGCCAGTAACCAAAGTACAAACGCAGCATAAAAGGGGTTAACATACTGTAATTTTTCTTTGTAACTCTGACCCCCTAAGATGAACCTAAAACACCGGCAACAGATAAATGGTGTGGGAAGTTGTTCTTTACTATCACAGTTTGATCAAGGATGATAGACTTGCCATTAAGAATCGATCATAGAATCATAGAAACATAGCATGGTTTCGATGGGAAGGAGAGAAAGACAGGAGAAGACCCACAAGGGCGAGCCAAGTGCTGCCTGTGGCCCCGCCGTGGGAGGAAGCAGGGGAGCGCGGAGGGCTGGCCAGCAGTGCTGGGGTGTGGGCAGAGCCTGTGGGACTTTGTCCTGCAGCCTCCCGGGGAGGCACGAGGTGTTATCCAGTGCACCCTCTTGCCGTACGTGCCTGGAGACGTCTGCCCTGGCCAGAGCGACCTGACGGGGCCCTGGGAAGACGTGGCTGAGGCCTCGGTGACTGGCGTGAGACACCGATGCCGAGCACAAGATGAGAGATGGGGGGATCGAGCGGGCAGCGGTGTCGTGGTAACCCCAGACGTGGGGCGAGCGCCGTGGGTGAAGATGGCCCGTCGTGACATCCCCCAGCGATGGACAGTGATGTCCATCTGATGTCCAGTGATGTCCACAGGTTCTGATGTCACCAAGGGACGGACTGCCATGTTCTGTCATGGTTTAACCCCAGCCAGCAACTAACCACCACGCAGCTGCTCACTCATTCCCTGCCCCAGTGGGATTGGGGAGAGAATTGGA